GTGGTTGATGCAGTATCTGATATACCAGGATGGTATCTTCCGAAATTCGGCAATATGTAGATGAGTAGACTCCTAGTTTTGCAACCTTTCGGCGCAGGTCTTGAATTGTGGTCCTCTGGCCTTTTGATTGCTGTTCTCTGCACACTTTTGCATGCCCTATTTTCTACTTAGCTATGGATTTCACACTCGAATAACGTACTCGGTGTGTGGTCTGTTTCAAACCATCCACAAATAAGTTGGAATAATCCAATCTACTTCAAAACCATTGATGACACTCTAACTCACTGTATGGAACATCTTAAGCGCAGTGGTTTAGCCGCTGTCACCGGCGTGCTTTGGACCCTATGGTCCGAGGTTCGAGCCCCGCCACCTCCACCCGACTTTGGTGGTAGGCAGCTTTGCTGTCGTCCGATTCAATACCACGCCTAACCCATCGGGGCCTTATATAGTTCACCACTCCAAGTCCTGGGGCTTAGGTTACTGGTTTCCACCACTGAACAGCAGGTCCTCGTGACTATGAGGTTCACTCCCTCTGCTGTTGTATAAACGAAGTAATTTTGCATTGATGTATCTTCGGAGGCACTTGATGCAGTCACAACAGCTCGTTGTTGAAATATATCCGCCTGTGATGAGTAATCGTACTTGATACAGGTTGCTTATCGCTAAAAGATTTTTTCACACTTCTGCATGTCTGCCTGTCCCCCCGAATGTGTGATTTGGTGTAATCAAGATTTCGAATCAGATCGGTTGTCACTTTACTGACACGTGTATAATTGCGTTCATCGGATTTTTTTGAAACGAGCTATATGCAACATGTCCAGGGACGTGATTCCAAACCCACCCAATCGATCAGATTGATCGGAGAAGTTCTTCATACGTTTATGTGACAGATAATGTAGTATTTTTATTTCTTTTAATCCTCATCGTTTGAAAGAATAGACGAACAATGAACTAATTATTCATTCAAAGTAACCATTATGCGTGAAGTACGTGAATAAGAATGCTCACAAAGAGAACCGTTGTTAACATCGCTCTCTTTGGATGTCCCTTTTACAAATCGTTAGGATAACAGACAACAGAATCTCCCAGTCATTGATAACGTTAAACGTTTCTGAAGAATAGATCTCAGCACGATCTGAGATATATGTGGGAATGAGCGTTGAACTCATCAAAGAGTTTTGAGTCTATCCCACAGACCCGTAGAACAATGTTTGTTTTCGTGATTTTCGTTTGTGTCTCTCGGCCCTTTACCAAGGATTTTTAGCCTTATCGATTTTTCTACTGATCAACAATCGGGTGGTGCTTTTAACCCCTAAGCAAGAGACTCACAAATCGAGTCTCCCAACAGGCAGAAGGACACATCAACTTAGCGTAGAGAATGGGCTATTCGACATCTTATGGCTTAGCAACGGTTGGACATTTTGAACGAATATTTCCGTGTGCGGATATCGTGTCTCACAGCATCACCGAGTCCCCTCTATGACACCGGCATCATCTGTACTACATGAGTACTTTATCACGTGCCACATTATCGGATACTACAGACCTCAGGGCAATTAATCTGCCTTTCTATAATTTCCTTTCTTTTTATGCAATTATATGTTA